GAGTTAGTATTTGTGCCAGTTGATAGGATCGGGATTTCGTTACCGGAGCCTGCGGTCGTTCTTTGAAAACGCCTCTCAAATGAGGGGTATAGTGTGCTTTCAGTGGATATTTGTCCGATTAGCTTCTACTGCGGTTAGCAGAAGAAAATCCTTACCAAATAATAGATGTGTAAAATTCGTTCAACAAGGCCTAAGAAGAATGGACACGCATGAACATTTTTGAGACTCCTTGTTAAGGACAAATGTGTCTGTCATTTCATGAGTGACTGTCTAAAAAGGAAGTGGACTAAACACAAACCCCATAATATGGTGAAGCTTGGAAGTGTTACCTTTGAAGACGATTTAAGGGAATAAGTTGGGTGAAGGCTTGCACCACATGGGGCGTGAGCGTTGCTCCATAAAACACACGCTGAACTTGAAAGTTGGAAGGCTCATGTAATTCAATACAATAGCAAGGCATGAAACACTTCAAAATATGCTTATCGTGATTTTGAGAAAAAAAGAGTGTGATAACTCGGAAAATTGAGGAACACACTTGAAGTGTTGGAGGAGCAGGATTCAAAGTGGTATGTTATTAAAGGAAGAAAAAAGCGAATAATTAAACCGTGTGGAATAGACTAATTCTGGTGAATCATAAAAAGGAAAAAAATACGCTGGGATAGCTGAACACCTTAACCATCTTTGTCCTCCTTTTAGGGGATATCCTTCTGTCGGGACAAAAATAGTCATATCTTTACAAGAAAACAAGGTCGATAAATGAGAATTCGTATCATTGACAAGGTATATAATAATGCAAAGGCGAAACGCACTTTCTATGCCTCTTCAGACCTTCAAACATATCCAACAATTGAGTACGCTTCCAAATGAGCACGACCTTACCGTTCAAAGTGGCTAGAACAATTGCCAGCATACAATTTTGTCCATGCAATTTGCATTAAAACGGAGAGAGGAGGCATTATTTAGGGTGAAGCCAACCGCCTGACATTTCGGCATTCAGAACAACTGCCGATACCAACAGGAAGGAAGCGAGGCATGCCTTCAAAACTGCCACAACCTGAGCGTATCTTGACAAGTCAAGATCCGCAGAAGTTGGAATAAATAATTGGGTTAACAGAAGTATGCAGCATTATTTATCAACCAAAAATGGATACATTAAACCGTTTGACGGAAAGTACAAAAATACTGCTGCCAAACAAGCTCAAATTAACACAAGCGAATCCACTAATAAATTCGGAGGCATTAAGCGAACAAAGGATGTCTAGCAGTAACTCACGACTATGCAACTTCTTTGGATGCGCAATTGAGGCACGACTGGAGATAAAGAGCTTCCTTTCTCTCCATCCCCCACTTCCATTAATTTCCTTGCAACCTCACAAGCCCCTTTCGCTTAGCAAATTCCACACACACCTGAGCCGCAGTCAGCGCTATTCGACAACATGCCACTTGTTGGACTAGCATGGAAGCATTAGCGCAAAACGAAGGTTACTTTTAACAGGGTGATATCCAGTCAATAAAGCCTGAGTTTGTCGTATAACGCATCGCCTGACGATGCCGAGAAGGTAGAATTTGGGACGTTAGGCAAATTAAAGCAATTACAACCCCTCAGAGCTACTCGTCCTTCC